TAAAAAGTCAACATTGTCGAGAGAAGTAATCAAAATATTTATAATTTGTTACTTATTTTATGTTTATTCTGACGTGGGATATCTCCTTTGACACTTGTGATTTTATTTAACAGGTCCAATCAATCGAGGAGAGCGTGGATCAAATATGTCACCAAGATCGTCCCCTGCTAGGCCTACAGGTATTAAAGTTTCAAGTAAATTTAACAAGAATTCCAAGTACTTAAATGTAAATTATTACACCATAGCATCAGCAAAACGTTGATACATTGATCTAAACATTTTGCAGCTCCAACTTTTCCATTGCCATTTACACCACCTCAGCCCCCGGCCAGCGGCTTAACACCACCACTACCACCGGAAGGAGACATGACTCCACCAGCACCAGAAGGAGATATTGTTCCGACGCTGACACCGCCTGGAATGCGACCGACTTTGACTCCATCAGCAGCCCAGCCAGCTAATAGTCTTTCACCATCTCTTCTAGTTGCTGCTTTAGGAGTCATTTTCTTCATGTACTATTAATGTGCTATAGACCTTTTTGTGCCATAATGTTTGTGCAAATTATTTTTTTAGTAATTAGGGGACATTTGTTTTTGAATTGTTTGGATAAATTGATTAACATTTTTTTCTCATTTTGTGTGCAAAATGGTGATTGTAAGAAAACAATTGTTTTAAACATTATATTCATTTTGATTGTGAATTTTGTACTTGAGTTAAATTATTAAGAATAAGACTTAATTTGTGTTTTATGAACATTGAATCTCTATTTCGTACTATCAATATAAATTCTTCAAACATTTTTTAATGAATAAACACCCGTCTATGTGGGAATGACCGCAATACCCACGTGCAAGGGTGCTTAACATCAATAAAGTTAAATAACATAAATTTAACATATTTAATGTACATACCAGTACCACAGTCAAAACCGATTTAGAAAATTAAGAGGAAAAAGAAATAAAAAATCAAAGTTTGATGCTAGAAAATGCGCACTGTTGAAACAGTTTACCATGGTATCGGTTAATTTAATTTAATTTAATTTCTCATTTAATGCCATGGTATTTTAACGGGGCTTTCATTTAAAAAGTCTAGTCAAACAAAATATTAGTTTAAAAAGTTCACAAACTAAGTTCTTTAGGTAAAAGGCCTAAAGATATGGAAAATGAAAAATATAATTTGTAAATGACTAAAATGACCTTACATACAAAAAAGACATTGTTGC